ACCCTACGTCCTCTCAACCTTGGCCATAAAAAGTATTCTTTTTATAATTTCTATACGTTCGACAATTTTCCAGTAAATCTACCTGCGTTTTCGATCCTGCCCCCGCGCTGACCATTGTTCGTGAAAGGCTACTCGAATGCGGAAATACGGGAAAAAATCCGCTAATCATTGAAGTGAAACCCATGGCGTAGAATTCCTAAATTGTCGACGAAATACGTAGTGAACTGGTTTTTGACGAACACATGAATTTTCAGATTTACTGCGAAAATCCATGAATTCATTGGGATCACATAATAATGCCGACGCGTACCTGATTAACATTCACATCGTAGTGATACTTCTTTGCTAGAATTTTTGCAAGAGAAACATGAATAGCCATTACGACGACTGCGATTGAAATAGCATCAACGATTAGTGAAGAAAAAAGCTCTACTCGAGGGAATTGTGGAGCGGGAAGACTGAAAATACAGAAGTAGTTGAAATGGAGGTTCGGAAAAAGAGCTCAGAGTGCCCAATTACAACCTAATTACAATTTTAGCTAAGCTTTATAGAAGTAGTAACTGAAATAGATGCTCAACTCACCCATTTGGAATCTTCCCAACAGTTGTGACATTGAAATTTTGCTTAAGGTTTGCGAACTGACAGACCAGAGTTCCTCCAATGACCTGAACGAAGTAAGTGTTTACCTATTCTTTATTTTCCATGTTTGTAAAGTGCCATTTCTATCCGGCATTCGTCTACACACCAAAAATTGGAATTCAAAATAATCATAGATAGAAATGCAAAATCTGACGTCAAAATACAGGGAGAATGCCAAGGCAATAATTTGAAAACTGACTTTTTTTAGATAAAAGGAAAGTCACGTATCTGCTATTACCTCTTATTGTTGTTATCGTTCACTTCTTATTGTAACTAACGGCATTTTTATCATCGTAGCAGCAAATTAGAGCAAAACGCCAATTATTTTTGAAAATCATTTGTTTCTAAGCTTGCCTCACTTTCTCAGTCATGGTTGGAAAATGGGAGGAAGGGTGGGGGGAGGGTAGAAAGGAGAGAGGAGGAGTCGGGTGAGGATGGAGGAAAGTAGGAAGAGGTAACGGGTAGCTTGGTGTAAAACTTGCTTTGTGGATCAGGACAACTATTTCTCGAAGGTTGCTAATTTGATAACAGAGCCCTCTAAAAGGCACTTTCTGAAAATCTGCTAAGTCCCGCATGTCGTTCGCAAACAAATTTCTTTACAACACTTTCTAAACGTTTTGCGCCTCATATGGAATAAATATGTACCCATTAAATATCCAAGTTACCCCTTTGATTACCCAACAAAAGTGTCAACAATTAATCGAATGCAGTGCATATCCTCTTGTAGTCGATAACTAACTGACTGTAAAGTAAACCTTTCGAATTGTGTTAGTGATGTTTGAACTTTACCTTTACTCAAAAAAGTTCTGAAGTGAACAATATTCGAAAAGTGGGCGTCCCATTGTAATGATAAGGTATTGAGTTGGTGTAATCAGGGAGAAAAATACGTAGAGATTTTCTTTTCTGCATACATGAGGGATTTGCACAATCATAGTAAACTTAGAGATAAAAAATCGATCTGACCCTAGCGTACAAAACAAGCGTTAATTGCGCTAAGTGAATGCTGCTCGAAGTTAAATAAACTTTAAACTCTGAGTATTTTGTGTAGTAAGCAATGCAATTCATCTTTAACCAAAATCCCGCCACCACCATGGGTAGTTTGCTGAAGGAGACACGTTTCTTTTACTTCAATGCTTTTTTGCAAACTCTTATTTTGTGTAAGTGAGATTACATAGTTGTCTCAATGATGAGAAAAATTATGCAAATTTACCATCTCTTTTTTTCAGCCATCAAAGTGTTCTTATCTTTTTGACACGAATGATTCTCTAAACTCACCGCAATCAATTCAAATGGGATCGGTATAGGACAGCGAAGTCGTCTTTGTACCAGTGGATTGATGAGATCTTTTCCGAGAATCAATATGAGTATAGTCACTGCAGACATCCCAAGAGTTAAAAGATTTGTTCGAGGGATCGCTTTGCACAGATCATAGAGTTTCTGCAAATTTATGGGGGAAAATTCAGGAAATTATTCATAAATTTCTTATCTACTCACAAGTGGCGCATTTGCGACACCTTGTCGTTTTGGAAGTCCGTGAATTCCAGCGATATCTTTCAATTGGGTGATAAACACATGCATTGATGCACCTGTGGTAAATCCTCCAACCAATTCATCGGAGAAGTAGGTGGTGACAAAGTCCAGTCCTAATATCGCAAATACTGCCTAGAAAGTGCAAAAGAAAATTTGTTATGGAATTTTGCAAAATTTTCTCAATGTTTGCTGTTTCCCTACCTGTATTAACCCAATAAGTACAGCTAGTGCTGAAGCTACTTCTATTGGGGTAGGACCATCTAAGATCGCTGTCGCATTTCCTAATAAGACCTCATCTGGGGGAATGACAGCAATCCTATTTACTGCTTTTCCGGTCATCAGTGCCACAACCGCGAAAGTTCCTGAAAATTTGAGATATTTCTTGGTAGAACTATCTGTAAGCTTACTGAATTTCGTGGATGCTTGCAAGGTTGAACATCCAAAAAATTACTCAAATGAAACGAATGTCCGTTCGTAATATATTGAACGAATAATGATATTCGAATCACTGTTCCAAAATACTGCGATTCTGACTATTCGAATGGAAATTACGAATGTTCGAACTGCTCGAATGTCATCCAAATATAATGCTCAATCTTAACTATACTTGAAAGTAAAGATTCCTAAGTTTTATCAAATAATTATCACTATGAGCATGCATTAGGAGT